CAATTGGATACCCAACGGTCCTGCAAACGATTTTGGACCTGTCGTTGTTCCATCGAGCTTGGTTATGAGCGATCTGAGTGGAAGTTCGTTTATATGGAGTAAACATATAATCCATTGAAGAGCTTTGTTAAATTTTTCCTCCATTACTCTAATCACACCTCCTTGATGGCCAGTATTTACTGCCGTACTATCGCATCCCAAGCCTTTGATTTGTCTAATTGGAATACTTTTTTCTACCAGGCATTTATCAATTGCATTTGCAATTGAAATTGCAGTGCCATCTTTCACTGCTTTGTGACCGATGAATAACGAATTTGGCTCTTGGACTATCGATATGTGCTCCTCCTTTACTATTTTATTCACACCGTTTTCAACGCATAATGTATCGTCCTTTCTGCCGTCAAAATAAACAGCTTCAATGTTATCAAATGTAAGAGCACCAATTTGATCGGTTCTTGTTCTTTTTCTGCTACGACGAATTTTATAGCGATCAATAACATACACTGTATTTTCAGGGGTTATTATGCTAAAGTCATACAGCGTGGCTGAAGCAATTGCGGCAGCAGCTCTGTCGGAAATATTATACCTGTCAGCAATTAATGCTACTTGCTTTAGTTCAACTTTGTTGTATGTTTTGGGAATATCATCTTTGTATTCAACGAAACCAGAACGAAGATTGACGCCAAATTGAAAACTTTCAGTCTCGGCAATTTGCTCCGTCGCATCATTTGAGTCGTTTTCATTTTCCACATAATTGGGCGGTTGATCAACGTCAATGTTTGCGTTAAATGCATTTGACGGACCTGGATCTTGAGAGGCCGAGGGAATTGAACGGAACGACAATCGACGAACAGTTCTTTGATCAATTATAAAACGCCACAAATGAGTTGGAACTTTTTTTCCATCCGGACAAGCACAAATGTTTTCATCTTCGCATTTGCAAGAAGCAATGTCGAATAGTTTTGCGGCATTAACCTTCAAAAACATGAATTTTCATAAGCACTTATGTACAAAAAATAAGCAGTCAAGAAGTGAAGTACCTTGAAACAATCCGCCAATGTTTCATATGTGTCTCTGTTTTTGCTGGTTTTCTTCAATGTTTGGTAGGATTTAAAGTAGTCCGATGTTCGCTGGAGAACTTTTTTTGTATAGATAATCGGAATATTCACCTTTTCCCACTGCATACGTACTTCACGAGAAACGATTTTAACAGCATCATCATATGATGCATTTTTTTCCCATTTTTCGTAATAAATGGCTTGCAAGACGTCACGTTGTGTTGGCAATTTCAGTGAAGGTAATGTTGATGCAAATACATCTAAAATGGGTAATTTATTTGTAGACATTTTTATCAATCGCAGAGAAGCAAAATTACATCGATGCTGTGTCAACTATTGTATAATAATTGTGATGCTTGTGAAGTATCACTTTCTGAAACGTCACTTTATACAACACAACATTTCTCTGGCTCGTTGATCGACTCTATATCAATCAACAGCTTCCCTGTAAATAATATCATTATACTTTGCGAAAAAATTGAAGCTGTTGGAAATCATTTATAAAAACGTTGAAATTATCATTTTTTATGAATTTCCATCAAATTAAGTAAATATTATAATTTATTGAACGATTGAAAGGCATTCAAAAATAAAAATGTTGACAATTAAGAAATCGGCCATTTTTATTGTAATTATCAATGTCAAAGCGATCAATAGACCTAAATTGAGATGTGGTTCAAACTTTTTTTGCGTGCCGATTTAAAAAATGAACTTAGATATTTGATTTAAAGCTATTTGGAACACAAAAATATCGAAAATCTGTGAACTTTTACCAGAAGCTCGCTATTTTTTCTTAATAGTTTCGATTGTGACCATGTTCAAGGGCTAGTTCCACTCAAATACATTTTTGAGTCTCCAAATTGACTTTAATCAATATTTATAACGACTTGGCATGGCATACAATTCATTAGAATGCATTTAAAACGATTTAAAATTATTTTGTACTCGGATAATTCCATCGATAAAATGCTTGAGAGTTGAAAAGTACCTTGAGTGCCTGGCCACTTTTCGACCCTTAAATGTTGTCGAATCACTGCGAAACCATTTCCATTCGATTCCCCGTTGAAAATTAGCTGGAAAATGTTGTATTTTCATTGTTGATCGGATGGTCCATCCATGAAATATGGTACATCTTCCGAACCAATCCGGACCCTTCGCTGAAAATTGCTGAAAATCGCTGAAAATAGCATATTTGGATGAAAATGATTACCTCATATGGGAAATTATGAAAAATCTGTAAAGGCCAGAATGTTTGTATGGTCCTGGGCTATAACTGGCCGCTCGCTTGCCCTAGTAATTTTGAGTTTTGGTATGGGTTCTAAGCAACTGTTTCATTTTTTCGAGGAAAAAAAATCGATACCTCTCAAAATCTTCAATAAAAATTGTGTTTGACCTTTGAAAAATTGTTTGAAAATGAACCATTTCTACCTAATTTTTCACGAGGAATCGATTAAGTGCCATAAAAAATCGATCCGAATGCATATAGACCCTCTAAAATTGACTTTTAAAAAAATGCACCGTGTTTTTTTCAAAAATACCGCGCAGGGTCCGAAATTCAAAACCGGAAAAAGTGCCAGAAGCAAAGTTGCTTATTTTTCAGTAAAAAATGATATGAGATTGGTTCGGAGCAAGTTCCTATCGAAATTACCAATCGCACCACCCTAGTAG